TTTTTTGTTCATTAATTTTACATCCATTAGTATGAATGCACTCCTAAGACTCCTAAGAATTATTTGAGTAATTTCAAAATAATCAATTTGAGATCGGGTATTAGCAAAATTTTGTACTAAATTTCGGATGAATGTTGCTAGAATGAAATGATGACCCGATGTTTTATTAATTAGTTCAAATTCTATTATATATAAATTACATTATTAACAAACAACAAAAAAGTAATAGTTGTTCTCGAATTTTTGTTCGTGCATTTTTAGGTAACAGTAGGATTCTTTTTGCATTTTGAAAAACCTAAATAATAATATTACGGTTAAATATTGTTATTCGAAAATATTTCCATTGTGTGTTCCTTTATTGAGGAATTTGATTGCTTGAAATAATTGAATAATAATACATAATTATTTGAATACAAAAAACTGATTATTCTTTCATATAGGATGATATTAATTACTTGTCTTATTAAAAAGATTTGATAATGCTTATTATTTAATTCGCATTTGTTTGTCAAAGTGCCTTAATGGTGCGAAATTTTTATATTTTTTTTTTTACGTTTTCAAATTACTAATTTTCATGTTGTATCAATTTTCTTTTTTTAAAAAAATTTTTTTTTCATCCGTTTTTATTTAAAATGTTAAATCAATGACACATGCCATCAATTATACAATGATAATGTAATAATTATATCCTTATCCAGCAGCATATTGAATTTAATGCAGTAAATGATTAAAATTTGTGCATTAAACTTTATTTCCTAAAACTTGACATTACATGAAACGATGTCCCATATAATGTAGGGAGGAAAAAAATTACTATTGTTTTTAAAAAAAAAAAAAGATTGATTTTTATCAAATTGTTATGCCTAACGAAGAAGAGATGAACAGAAATCTGATCCATTATCATTATTGAGGCTTAGCTATCACTGATTAAAAAGCATCCTGAAATTTTGCAATGTTTAATTCTGATGGAAATAGTCAAACGGTAAAGCAAAAAAAAAAGAGCACAAATATACATACACACATTATATACATATGAAATAATAAAAAAAGATATATTAAAATGAAATTAAACAAAGTAGGTCATGACCTTTCTGATGTAATATTTATTGTTAACTTAATTAGATGAATGATAGCGCATTCTGACTAATTATTCAAATGTTCAAGTGGATCAATGAATTAATTTGTTTCATTTTATGCTATTTAATAATACCTATAATCAATCATTCGTTGTAATAATTTCGTCCGGCGGTAATGTTTCGCTCCGTCTCGTTGACATTTTTAAGTGATGAATTGATTTCTCTCAATTCGTTATGGCATGAAATGAATCGTTTAGTATTTCTGTGCCATTGTTATAGTTATTAGATAATTGTAGAAGAATTTACTGAAATTAATGAATGATCAGATAGTGATAACTGATGCAATGAGAATTAACGGTAACTTTTTTATCCAAATCTGATAATAGATCAATGAATTAATGGTTAAGACAAAATTTCAGATACTGATAACTGATATCAATAGACGATAAAAAGATGTGATAAAAACATGCATTCATAGCATGTAATATTCTCTGATGAGTTAGGAAGCAATACACTGATAATCAGTTTTCTCTAGCAACTATTATACTCTCACGTTTTCGGTGAATAGCGCATTTGAGAAAAAAATGAATTAATTCGGGAAATTACAAAGAGCGCACATTTTCTAAAGATCATATCAATTCGTTTTGATCCTTTTTGATCTCAGATTCTTATCTGTGACATTTTCATCCGCAATATATATCATTTTATTTGGAGCAAATTGGTAATGCATCAAGAAAGAAACAACTATTTGATTTATATTCGAAAATAGATATATCATTAGAAATAAGAACAGATAAGTGATAAGTGCTAGGATTACTGTATTTTGTTTTGATGATAAATTAAATTATTAAGTCTCGAATATTTGAAAATTACAATTGCATTACAGACATTCAAACAATGTTTATCTTTTTTTTAAGCGAAATTTAACAATTCATCATGTATATGCACATGTTAACACGATTGGGATTAAAGAAATACCACAGTTTTTTATTTAATTAATCGTATTTATCAACAAAATTATCAGTATTTGTGCAAAATTCTTAGATTTTACAAAATTATGATTTTGTAAATAGGGGATATAATTTTTAATGAATTTTGTAGTGTATAATATTGCATTGAAAATAGACTTATATTGAAGTGGCAAAGACTATAAAAACAATTGCTATTTGATATAAATGATTAGAAAAATATATAAATTGGATAAAAGTTCCCTCAAACAGTGATAATATGAAGGGAGAGATGAAGGAGAGATGATTTACGAATTGTTGAATTAATAGCATTAACTAAAAATATTCAATCAAAGCTAATACTAATAATAGTCGTTGTAGAAGAAAGCATTCTGTAAACGCAACAATCATTTTCCTTTCCGACAATATGCGCAAATATCTCTCTTTCATCGTTTTCCTAACTCATCAGATTACAGTAACTATTCCTCTTTCACACGTAGACATGCAATAAATGAAATGATTGTTTTTATCCTTCTGCCCTTGCAAAATTGCACGTCTCCTATAAAATCCCATGTCTCTTGCAAAATTGAATGTATACGAGGATGAACATGACATTTTTTCGTCACCAATTTACTCTCGGTTTGGATCAACTTATCAGTTGAGATTAATTTATTTATCGGTTTATTTTTTCCACTCCATTCTTTCCATTTTCGTTCGGATTTATTACAAATTTTATCGGCTAATATTTTTCACTCGCATTTTTAAAATTAATTTGTGTTTATCAATTTTTTTTTTTTGTGTGAAGTAAGCATCTATTGATAATGCAATTTTTCCAGTAATTTATTTTTGAAAAATTTTCTAATATTAATTTATTTCATCCTCAATGTAAGAAAATCAATTTTAAATTTTAATGCATCTTGAAATATTTTTTTTAATGCCACAACTATAATTTACTTCATTTGTGACAAAGGAATAGAAAATTATCAGATTAATAATTGAAATGCATTCTTCCTGCTTGAAGATACAAGATAAAACAAAACAAAAAAGAAAAAAAAAATTCTTTAACACTGTTTTTCATTGTACGGATTAGTCAAATTTTGGGAATTAAAAAAAGATAAATTTTAGATTTTAAACTTAGCTTTTACCTCAATAAGTGAAGTGAAGAAAGAAGTATTGAAGTAATAGAAATAAAAGAAATCAATAAAATTATTTTTGAACAAATAATTGACTTTACCCTTCCTATGTTATATCTCAGAAGATTTTTTCTATATTATTTGAAGCTTAGATTTTGTTTTTTATTCTTTCAGTTGATAACATTGTTTGGATGTTCTTTTTTTGGTTTATTTTTCAAATTTTTTTCGACATATTCGATTTAAAGATAAAACAAAGCAAAAGAGAAAAAAAAAAACTTTATACTATTATTTTCCATATTTTATTCATTTAATAGTATATTGCCGATTTTTCTATTAAGTCAATTTCTTTCACATTTCTTTCTTTTCACTTTTTTTTCATTAATTTTACGACAGTTTGTTTTAAATTATGTTGGGAAATCTTTTTTTAATTCATATTTTCTATTTAATTGTGAAATATTTTGGGACTTGGTTGACGTATTAGTTACATCGGGAGGAATCTTATAATTAACTGTTATCAGTGATCTAAATACAATGGTTGACCGTTTGCAAACTAATCAATCCACACTTTGCAGGAAATTTTATCATACATTGTTCGTTTCTTGAAATAATTATCAATCTGCTGGGATAACAAGTAATATATTTTTTGTGAAATGTATTGAAAACAAAATAACATCCATCATAACAGATTTCGATTAATTCAATTAGATTTATACAATTTAAAAAGTCATAAGCAAATAAAATATATTAGTAATGAATGCATATATAAAAATATCAATGAAAAACTGTCTTTGCAATGCAATTTTATTAATTGCATATTAAGGAGGATAAATGTAACTGAATTATTAATGTTTTTTTTTCACGATTTAATTTTAATAAAAACAATTGGCCAAATTATCGACACAATGGACACTATTAATAAATATGAATTGCTATTTAAGCTAGTCTTATCCTTTGATTGTAAATTTACAACTTTAAATATAAATTATTCGAAAATGAAATATCTTAAAGAATGAAACAGTAGAAGAGACGAGAATTTGAGTAATATCAACGGTTAATCATTTGATAACTCCGGTTAAATTATTCGGTAGGATTCATTA